AGTCTATTAGCCTTAAACAGGGCCAATTACAATTAGCTATTGAAAACACCAAATGAACTCTGACCCTGGCTGAAAAGTTACACAATAATAACACAATAAACCCATCGACATATTATAGTTTGATGGTTGGTGATAAAAGGGTAAAGAATTAAATTAGTAATAACAAGAAAAAAAAACAATACATCTTGAGACCAGTACAAATCTCCTGGTGTTTCCCACAGAGGAAAAACTGTATAATTTTAGCAGCCTGAGACTAAAGTCTTTGTGTGTGTGAGTGTATGATTAATGTAGGAACAATAGAAAACCCCGGTGAGCTGACCTGTGTTTCACGGACGTTCTCCACTGTGAAGTTGAACCACACTCTGAAGCGTGGGTTGCAGGTGTCGGGTCTAATGAAGAGGTCAAACTCAAACTCACTGATGTAGTCAACACGGCCAAGGTTCCCTGCAGGGATGAGAAGACATGATGCATTAGTGTTTTATATATATATAAAGTACAGAAGAAGTGCACGTGCAAGACAAGCGAAATGACGTAAAGCTGAGAAAGGTAGCTCATTGGAGAGGAAATGTAATCTAAATAATTGCCAATTTTTTCAATTATTGGTAACCTGTCTACCACTAGTGAACACAGAAAGAGAAGAAGACCAAGAAACACAGCTATTCTATCCATCCATAACTGACACACAATACACTTGGATCCAGATGATCAGTGGAAGTATAATTAATCCAGCGGGGACTATTTCCTCACTTCGAATTCTCAAAGCTGTCTATAAGATGATTGCATATTTGATGATTGCATGACATGCATTCTAAATATAGGCTTCTTCCTCATATTTGGACACACATAGAAAGTAAAGGGAAAAGTGAAATCAAAGTGAGTTTGGCTCCCTTGTTGAAGAGGCACAGAGGAGCAATGTGACATCCGCCTCAGCCCACAGATAAATCCAGAAGATGCTGTCACCCTAAGAGCTAAACTAAGACGTTGTATGGGACGAACAGGTGTTCTGATGGTAAACTTGTGAGCAAACCTAGGAGACCACGAGACTCAAAGGCTCCCAGAACTCTTCATCAGGGTGCCATTGGCCACCTGGAGTCAGGTAGTGCAGCCCAATGACACACATAAACACACACACACACACACAAAACAAATGGCTGATTATGGACAGATGGGCTAACTACCACACTGTCAACGTGAATCCCAGTCCTTCTGCTATCGGACAGAGCTAATCTATTTTTCAGAGTACACACAAGTACACACACACAAGGCTCTTCTAGCCAAAGTTGACCAATCTTTACAGTTTTAAAGTAGTAAAGGTTAAATATATTTTTGATCAAATTGACACCTCCAATGATACAAACACAGTGATAAACATCAAGCCAATAAAAAAGTTATAATAGGATGTACTATTAATTGTTTGATTCAGGAAGTGTACAAACCCTTTGTCTAAATGTACAATAGCTGTTTTTTTAACCCTTTGTCTAAATGTACAATAGCTGCTTTTATATATATATATAAGAATACTTCACAGCAAATTTGATCTCACATCCCATCATTTATTTAGCCGTGAGAACAACAAAGGACAAGGTATTTTACAAGGACCTCTTATTACTACGAAAAGGAGGATTGATGATTTCACAGAGTTACCGTGCCTTTCTCGTTTGACTACAGGGTTTGACTAATACCGCAGAGGCAAACCAACCATTCTCAATTGTTTACAGCAGATAAAAGCAGAACCAGACAGAGGATTGAACCAGAACCAGCTGCTGCTACCATGCACAAACAAAAAGAGACGCAGCACCTGTCGTTAACATCCTGCTTGTATCATTATTGCTATCATCTCTCTGACCAGCAGCATCACTAGTCACAAAGCTGGTACTGCTGGCTCTTCTATCTGGTACACTGAAAAAGGTTTTCAGTAATGAAAGCAGGGCCAATACTGTGAATGCTGTAATTATTTTCTCAGGGTCATTACATGTTCTGAGATTTAAACAGCTCTGAACCCATTTTAAGAAGTCAATAGAGTGATTTAAAATTTCCTTCTGTGAAAACATTATTTATTTATTTACTTTATGATCAAACAGAAGGATTTTTTTGTGCATGTGCTGTCTGGAAATGTAGTAATTGTATTAAATGGTATGTGGTTTTAATTGTTTAATTTAGTTAACATATACATATATAGTATTGAAGTAAAAATGTGTTTTCTAAAATGTCAATTCATAAATTTAAACATTAAATTAAATAGTATTATAACTAAATGTAATCAAACATAAATTTAAACATTAAATTAAATAGTTTCATAACTAAATGATGTACATAAATTAATTTATATAAATTAATAACGTTGAATTCATTGTTAATAGTTGTAAATATTACCTCAAAGTCCTGGTATATGTGTCAAGGATTTATAAGATTGTACATGACGTATTATAAACATGGTCTCTTCATTAAAAAGATTTATATTTTGTCTCCTGCCTGTTATGGTTTAGTATGGTAGGAAGCAGGCAGGACAGCAGGTTCATTTACAGTGTGCAAAACTCACTTGGTCACAGGGACAAAGCATAAACAGTGAGGCATTGGTCTTCTCCACGAACATGCATTTCTCCAAGACATGGACTCGAACAGCAAACAAACATAACGGTACCTGAACTGACTCACAGGACCAGACTTGACCAGCACAAACAGGACAACGATCCCACCAGGTCAGAGTGAGGGAGAGGTGTATACACCCAGGGCACCAGGTGACACCAGTGAGACTAACGACACAAGTGGATATGATCACACTAACTCCACCAGGCAGACAGACAGGAAGGGGAAACACACAGCCCTAACAGCGATGATCCACAGAGTGATTGTAGTCTAGTGCAACAAAACTACGTATATCAGTGGCTCTTTATACGTATTTACACTTTAGAGAGAATGTGTCAAACTCAAGACCCACGGGCAGGATGTGGTCCACCAAGTCATTTAGTGTGGCCGTGTGAGCTTAAAAAGTGTAAAATGTTCCTTATAATAACATCTATAACAATGTTCTACTCAGTGTGTGTTCAACGACAGGCCGCATCACCTCAATTTCCCTAAAACCTGACTCATATGGTTATTTTCTGATTTTTATCATTTACTTGACAAGTTTGAAAGTTTGACATATATTTTCTTAACCTGATAAATTGAAAAGTTCTTCAAAACTTAAATATATGAATCTATTGCAGAAACATTTATTAATATGCTATGAAGTAGTGGCATCTACCCAGTCTTCCAGTTACAACCAGCCCCTTCGAGGGGGGACCGTTTTGCTGATGTGGCCCCCGGTGAAAAATGAGTTTGACACCCCTGCATTAGAGCATCTCCACACTGAGCTCTATCTCTGGCCTTGAAAGTTTGTCTTGAAAAGCTCTTCACCGAAAAACAAAACAGCATAAAACACAAACCACCATCAAGCTGCTGTAAACAAAAGTGCCAGTTAAATTGGTATGAAACCTGCATCATTACACAGACCCATAGGCAAGTAATTCATGTGCAAACACTAGTTGAACAAGTGGACACTCAGTCAATCTCTGTGTGTATGCATATGTGTGTGTGTGAGAGAGAAAGAGAGAGCATGAGAAGGCTGAGGAAGCAGAAGAACCTGGCTAATGTAATCCCATTACGAAGGTACAAGAGGGAGCAGTCACAGTCCTCAGCCCACACAAAGGGTTTCTCTGCAGCCTGTAGCTATCCACTGGATGGATGGTTGGTGCCATGCACATGGATCATCCAACAGCAGCAGCAGGCCTGTCTGCCTCTGGCCTGAGGTGAAACTCACTCTCACAGCCAACCATTAGAATGCTAATAGGCGGTTGTTTCAATTGAAACCGGCTGTGGTTACAGTGCTTCTAACACAGAGGATGTGTGGGCTGTCATCGCCCTCAGTCTTGCATACTGTATCTGCACACACAAATTCAACAATTACATTTGACTAAATGTAAACTGTACCTTTGCATATTAACATTTGTGCCCTTGAGCAACTCCTGTGTCTATATCCTGGACAAACGGCTGCAAAATGCTCACCAAAGCAAAAAAACAAAATAAAAACTTTATTTAGATTCAAATGACATAATTTGAAAAGTTCAATTTATAAACTCAAATCCAACTTTGTCAAAACAAACCTGTGAGCCAAAGATAATTTGATCAATATTTCAGCAGGGCATAAGCAAAGCCACAAATGTGTTTAAATATTAGACTGGAGATTAAAGGAGCTCTGCACTGCTGAGGGACACCAGCTAGACATCTTTCAGAAGTTATTCTTTACTGTGTTTCATTTCATTATTGGAAAAAACATCAGTTCTCCCCCTTGGCCTTCCTACATTGTAAGGAAGATTCTTGGACCCAGAAGAGAGGGACTGATAAAGATAGAATTGATTTCAGCCAACAGCAGCCGCCACGGTGAAGGGGTCTGAGTTTAGACCTGCAGCTACACATCTGTTTAGAGAGCCTCTCTCCCTCTCTCTCTCTCTCTCTCTCTCCCTCTCCCTCTCTCTCTCCTCTCATCTAAAGGCAAGTTGTCATTGAGGAAACATCAATCTCCTGCCCTGCGAGTTCCTAAACCTGCCTCCTCTCCCGATGCCTTATCACTTCATCTGTTGGCAAGATTAAAGAGGTCACCTCCAAGTTTCCCCATTCTTACCTTTACGGGTGAACTAAACTGCAATCGCTCTTTTTTCATAATAAATTATAAATAAAGGATTGGGGGCGGGGGGGTTGTGTGTTTTTTTTTTTTTCAAAATCCCATGCAAACACATCTATTGGGTTTTGAAGGGAAAAAGGAAATTTAATTCAACCCTCCTGACGTTTGCCTGTGAATGAACAAAACACTTCATTCTGTGGTAGCACTAAGAGCTGCGAAACAATGAATGTGATGTTTTTTAAGGTTTAGATATAAATAGGAATAATGGCATTTGTATTCCCCAACTTGTATACAAGTTGGGGAATACTAATGCTAGTATAACAATGATTTACAGCAATTGTTCAAAACCATTTCTGCACTCCATATGTGAAATATAGTACGCAAGAATCAGCATTTTCTAAAAATAATCAAAGATGGTGTACAACAGTGGCTACATAATAAAGCTCATGATCATTTAGCACTGTGCTAAATCAGCAGCTGTGCTTAGCTTTTGGATTGTACATGTGTCAGTGCAGTGTAATAGTAACACAAATGGTCACCTGGTGGAGCTGGAACAGAGTTATTATAATAAAATCAAAACAGCTCCAGATTTTGGCAAATTTTAAAACCTCTATTTTTTGGCACTTAAGGAGTACGCAGACGCCCCAGAAACACAAATATATGTACAAACAACCTGACAAAGTCAATTTAGCATAAAATGATTTAGCATTTAAATATCTGCCTCACGCTGTACTGGGAACATGTTCTTCATGTTCCACAAAAAACAAACATCATTTGAATTTAA